GTTTTTCTCCGGTACCAGGAACCGAACTCACGACCTTACGCTTGCCAGGCAGGCGCTTTGCCGCTGAGCTAAATCCCCAGCCCCACACAAATTCTTATACTGAAGAACTTTCATGATACTTTGTTCAAAAGACCTTGCTTCACACTGTGTTTTAATATTAAGTCCTAGCCAATCAAATTGTTTCAAATATCATCAAGAAGCCTAAATATTCTACCTCAGGAACAGTTTAACTATAATTCTGATGCCAAATTAAATTTAGGAATACTGGTAAAAAGCACTAAATCTTGGTGGATGATTAATTATCAATTTTTCATGCAAGTTTAAATGTGTTTGAATTGATCTGGTATCCAGCTTTGGCAATTTAAAAATCTGCCTTTAGTGTATGTGGAAGAAGATTAAAATAGAAAACAAGAGTTCTAAGATGAAGTTATTATGGTTGATTTTTTTTCCCAGTAGGTTTTTAAAAGCGCTCTGTACTGTTGCTTTCTATTTTTACAATGAAAATACTTCTTAACCTCTAAAAAATAATATATATGGGGATAAAGTTTGGTGATTTCAAATATATGTCTAATGAGTAAACTCACAGTAAATGCAAAATATGCCACCCACAGATTACCTAACAATGTGAAACAACACAAAAACATCTGTGTGAAATCTGTGACGAGATAACTTTGCGAGTTAAAACACACACAATAGGTAATAATAAAGATCTGTCATTTTTCCTTGTTTATTGTTGAAGCACAACAGGAATACTTTTCAACACAAATAGTAAAAGCCTCTTAATTTGTTATCTATTTCTGTATTTGTTATGGCAATGACATGTTTATTCTTCTGCAGAAGGATGACCTATTAAATTAGACCTACATTTTTAAGACTGTCAATACAATAACTAGGTTCTAAAATGCCTACTTGGAAATATTTGTAAAAGTTACCTTAAATTAGTATAGGTACATGGAATTGGTAAATCTGCATTTAAAAATGCAGTCTGTATCACATATTTGCATGAGACTAATTCACTTAATTTCTTAAATGTATAAAACATTTACAGGTTTTAAAATGTTTCAGGGCACTTAGTTCATTTGACTTAAAAAAGAGCTAAAAAGGTATTATGAAATATTTCAATAACTTTATTTCTTAATGACAGAAACAAAAACACTTAACTTTATCCTCATTCAATTTGATCTCAATTCATTTATTTCAGTGAGGTATAAGACTTCATATCAAAGTACTATATGATATTTATGACATGATGTGTAATGGGTATAAGGTCCTGCTTGGGAACTTAACTAGTTAATTAATACTTAGCTTTAAAACTATAATATGTGTACCAGGGAAATTACCTAATTCATGATTCATCTAATTTAGGTGAACAGTTCTGCAAATTCTGGTCCTCTAGCTAGGTATAGTGCCATATGTGTTTAATCCCAGCACTTGGGAGGCTGAGGCAGGAGAATCTCTGCGAGCTCAAGGCCAGCCTGGGCTACACATAGTGAGTTGGAGGTCATCCTGAACTACAGAGTGAGACTTCAACAAAAAAAAAAAGAAAGAAAGAAAGAAAGAAAGAAAAAATTGTGACCTCTTATCCAGAATCTCTGATTGACAGTGAAATAAAAATAAACATTCTACTATCATATTTGACTTTATTGCCTTAAACTCTTCGGGTGATAGCTTGTTATAGTCCTCTTAGCATTCTAAATAATAACCAGTTAACCAGTTACATACAACACAGAGAATCTTCAAATTTACCTCAAGTTTAGCATCCAGTTCGGCATCAGATGCCACTACATGCTCATCCTCTTTTTTTCCTGTTGCTTTGATAAAGACCTGTTTAGTTTTCCAGTATTTCTGTTGCATCCTGCTGACTACTGACTGGTTATCTTCTGGTCTGGGTTGCCCAAAGGACTCCATGGAGTAACTATAATGAATAGAGAAAAATTAAGCTTCTTTAAAAAAAAAAAAAAGCCCTGCTCAATAAGAAATATCTATTTCACTACTCAAGATTTAACTGACAAACTAAAAAAGATATTAAATAAGATATTAATGCTCACAGACAAATGTGCTAATGCTTCCTTTGTATGGTCTAAATTTATGTTATAATTACAACTTGAAGAAGAAGCCAAAAGATTAATGATACTTATATTAATTTTGTTTAGATAACAAAGGTATAAAATTTACAATTTTTAAATTCTAACTGAAAATAATTCTATTTATTTGACCAATCTCTGTTGGTAGACATGTACTAGTTTTGAATTTTTGCATTTGTAATAATACCGCAAAATTTAAAAATTTTCACTCACATCTCTACACATTACTATCATTCCCGTAGGAAAACTTTCTATACTTGTAATTGCTATGACATATAAACACAATTTAATAAATATTCTTAGATATGCAAAGTGTCAGATACATACACTTTTATAAAGATCCCTCAAAAAATACTTTAAGAGACTTCTGGGAAGATGGCAGAATAGTGAGCAGCAGAGAAACAGCCTCTCCAAGATTTGGAGTCCAGAGACTGGAATATAACAACGTGAGGAAGAAAAGGAGGGAAGTGGGTCTGAAGTAAGAATTGGAGCCCACAGGGAAAGTGAAGAGAGGGGCCTCAACACAGAACAGGGACATGGCAAACAGTGCTTTCTCCCTAGGACCCAGCTTGCAACATGGGGTGGGGGTGGGGGGCGCACACAGCTTAAACCTGCAGAGGCACAGTGGCTATTGGTGACCCTAGAGGCCCCCAAGGACAAACACACCAGTGAAATGAAGCAGTGGATACTGTGGACTGCAGTGGCTGGTGAGTTATCCCACTTAAGATGTCTCCTAGGAAAGGGCAATTGGCTGGCTGCCATTTTGGAAAGGGGCCAAATGAACTCAGAACTCAGAGCAGCTGTGGGTTGGCTCCACCTAGTGGCTTCCAGTGACAGGGTAAGGCACACAATTTCAAACTGGCAGAGGATCAGAGAGCCAAGATCAACCCAGCAGGAGGTCAGGGAGCTGAGTTAAAGTCAGCAAGGAGCTGGGTACAAGCCAGCAGCGAGCTGAGTGCAAACTGGAGGAGGCTCCCAGTGTTGCTGGCTGAACAACTCAGGTCCCAGCCCCATAGCCAGAAACCAGAAGCAGCATGAACTTCAATGGAACTACAGGTACAAACTTGCTGGGATTATCCACTGCTCTGCTGTAATTCTACTGTTGGCTTGTTGGGATTAATCAACATAAATCTGGACTCTGTCGGCCCCATGTCTACCAGTCACAGCAGAGACATACCCTGAAGTGGTCATTTTTTTTCTTTTCTTCCCTAATATTTCTTTTTATTAGTTGTTCTTGTTTTTATGAGTGTAAATACTGTCTCTAGTTTTTTTGTTATTTTATTCTGTTCTTGTTTTTGTTTCTTCCTGCTTTCTTTCCTTCTTCTCTTCTACCAGTTTCCCAGAGCTTGTGTGTAATCCTCCTTTCTCCTCTAGCCTTGATTCTTTTTTTGGTACTAGGAATCAAACTCAGGACCTCAAGCTTTCTAGGTAAATGAAGGTACTGTGAGACCATATTCTTTTTTTTTTGGTTTTTCTCCGGTACTGGGAACTGAACTCACAACCTTGCGCTTGCCAGGCAGGACTTTGCCGCTGAGCTAAATCCCCAGCCCCAGAGACCATATTCTTAAGTAAAATAAATTGGACACACATGTTTTAATATTGCATTGTTTCTCTGGTATGAGAAACCAAAAGGGTAGATAATGACCAAAACATATAGTAAATGTTGTAAAACAGGAAGAAAATGTTCAAATGAGAAGGAGAACCAGTGGGGAGGGAGGGAGAAAGGAAGGAAGGGCAAAGAAAAAAATAGAAGAAAAAAATGGAAACAAAGCTTTTGTAAATACAGAGAGAAAGAGGGCTTAAAGAGAAGAGAGAGGAATGGAAAAAAAAAGAAGAAAGATGTATTGTGTACAGGCACAAATTTCCTATGACCAATGTTCTATTTCTATATATTTTAAATGTATCATTAAAATTAACTAAAAACATTTTAATATCTAATAATTCAACAAATATTAAAAGAGATTCAGAGAAGATATGTTATAAAAGAAAAAGATGAACATTGTACACCATCAACATAAAAACTGATGTCATAGTAATTATTTTTATCATAGCTAACATGGCTATACATAAAAGGAAATATAGATGTAAAAATATTTTTAAGATGTTACAAAGAGAAACAAATAATGACAGTTTGATTCTAAAGCCCAAATTATTCCAATAAACTGTGGGAAGAAGAAGGAGGTGTGTGTCTTCATTTCCATGAGCACAGACAGGTACTATTGTATTCCTCACGCTAGTAAAGAGAGATTCTTTTCCTTTTTATTTTGAAGTACTTACTAATTAAATAAAAACAGGATGTCTAATTTCTAAATTACTAGGGGTCAAAATAAGCAAGAAAAACTTAGAAAATACAGGGCAGGAAAAATAGGAGTAAGGCAAACATAAATAAAGTATAAACTGAGATGCTGGAATAAGAACAACTACATTATTTAAAGTGATAATTGCAAATTTCCTTTTAAACACAAATAATCTAAAATCATTAAAAATTCAAAAACAATATCCAACTATATGTTATTTTAGAGCCACATAAAATGACACAGAAGAAATAAAGGTCTGAAATATACTAAATAAATACAAAGAAAATTAACTCAGAATAGCCATAATATATGAAAAATAGTTTTAAATAAAAAGCATAAAACAGAACACAGATAAATGGTAAAGTCCACAAGGTAGCCATTTTTCCATATGTCCTCTCTCTGTATGTTCACCTTTGTATATCCTCCTCAATTTATGGGCAGCACTGATCAGCCACCATTTAATTGCTGATACATGCTATGCTAGATAATTTGGCTGGACATAATCTGAGACAAAAACTAGAAAGAAAGCATTCAATCCTGAATATAGAATAGTGAGGAAGGGCCAGATATATAACTCAGCAGCATAGCACCTAACTGGCAAGCACAAAGTCCTGAGTTTGATTCCCAGTGTCAAAACAAATTTTAAAAAGACTAGTAAGGGAAACTTGGATCTTCTCTCCTCCACTCAGTTTCTGTCTGCTTTTCTTTGCTCTTGATAAGCCCCCGCCCCATTGTACAATAGTTATCAGTTATCAGCATGACTGTCAGTCCAACTGTATGACAAACCACTGATCTCTGCTACTAAATTGACTGTAGTGTAGAAGCTAAGTTAGTTACACATATTACAGGCAGTTAAGACAGGCCCTCAGTACAGAAGACAACTGTGGCAGGAGGCACATTCCCTGAAGGCCAAGCATTAGGAAAAAGAGGACTGACTACACCCACAAACTTCCCCTAGGGATGAACAGCAGTGACTGACATTCTAAATAGGCATCAATCACCTTGGATGGGGGACTAAAACCTCCCTGGCCTGTTCCTTCCAGAAAATCCTTGTCTGGTCCATGTACCCTTGCTACATGACTTGCTTCCTCATTTGATCCCCATTTAATCAGTATTACCTAAGTAACTATACTTGTTGTAATCTCATTGGTTGACCATAGTTTTATCCTACCTCACATCCATCTTCTGATTTCCCATGGGATCAGTATTACCTAAGTGACTACTTGTAATCTTACTAGTTGACTACAGTTTTGTCCTACCTTGAATCTGCCTCACCTTGTGACTTTTCTCAATAAAACACCCTTGAGAAGGTCAGTGGGCAACTCACTTTGGGCCCCCTTCTGTCTCTCTCAGACAGAAGCTATCTTTCAATAAATTCTTCCTACCATTAACCTCTGCTGTTCCTAGACTTCATTCCTCAATTTTAGAGAACACAAACTTGGTGCTTCACACATTTAGCAAGTTGGGAGTTACAATCTTTCCTTTATATTATTTGGAGGTTCATATATCCTCCCTATCATATGACCTATATCAACTGCAGGCTTAGGCCCAGTTAGGGAACAAAATGCTAGGGAGTATTGAGGAGGACTTCCCCTACCTTATCATCTTCTTGAGAGAGAAAGTTCTTATCTGTTTGGAAATCTGAAAGCAATACAGTTTACTCTTTCCTTTTTCTCTGAAAGCCGTGGGCCTGAGAAGAGCACACATTCATTGGCAATGGAAGGGGGCACCTGGGTAGAAAATCTGCACAAGTTCAGCCATTGTTAGTGACAGAAGAGACAGAGTTTGGGAGTTTCAATCCAGCCAAGTTAACTTTCTTCTAAAATAAAAATTCCTCAGAGAACCAAAACAATGATTTGTTTAAAATGACCAGTACCTAATCAAAGAAGACAAACAAATATGAAAATATGACCTATACTCAAGGGGCAAAGTAGTCAATAAAACAGATACTGAAGATTCCTAGATACTGTAATTAACAAACCCTTTAAAGTAGATATTCTAAACATATACAAAGATTTCAAGTAGTACATGTACACAATAAGTGAACAGATAGAAAATACTAAAAGAGTCAAGTTCTCTCTTATGAACTCACTATCCCTCATACATCAGCACACACTTGTCTTTTCTACATTCCCTGTCTTTTGGCAAATCTTGTAGCACTCAACTGGCCCTCCATATAGTCTCCATGGTCTGTAAGCACAGAGATGGGAAAAACAACTTGCCTCCCTTGGCTTTTCTTCACTGTGGTGGTAGCGTGTGGCTGGCAGATTAGTCCATAGACAATTTGATTTTTGTGAGACAGGTTCTTGCTATGTAATTCAGGCTGGCCTTGAACTATGTAACCCAAACTGACTATGAACTCCTGGCAATTCTCCTCCCTCAGTCTCCAGAGTGCTATGATTACAGGCATGTGTCACCATACACAGTCCATGGACAATTCAAAAACACTGGCTGTGACACTGACTGAGACAGGAGATTGGGGCATGCCAAAGTTAGCTGTTGGTAACTTAGTAGCCTGCCTGACTAACTGCTTA